GGGAAGTTCAAGGTCACTGGAAGAAAAATTTCATAATTTGTGTCCGGTCCATATCTTTCTTATATATAAACTTGGTAGGTTCTCATTTCACACAAAGATTGCTCATGACCCAAGGGTGTGTCATGACTTTGACCCAAGGTCATTTGGGGAAGTTCAAGGTCACTGGAAGAAAAATTTCATAATTCGTTTCCGGTCCATATCTTTTTATGGATAAACTTGGTAAGTTCCTATTTCACACAAAGATTGCTCATGACCTAAGGGTGTATCATGACCTTGATGCAAGGTCATCTGTGCAAGTTCGAGGTCACTGAAAGAAAAATTGTAGAATTCATATTTGGTACATTTCTTATTATTATGAAAAAACTTGAATCTACTACTTTACACAAACATTGTTTATGACCTGAGATTATGTCATGACTTTAAACCAAGGTCATTTATGCAAGTTCAAGGTCACTAACAGAAATAGTTCATAATTCGTGTCTGATCCATATATTTAGTGTATTTTTTTTATGAGGCTGCGCCTTAGTTTCATTTATAAAAAAAAATATGAGCAATTACATTTGCACTTAAAATGTTTTAGCATTTCTCTCTTCTCTTAGATTTATAAAATATTCATGATTTAGAACCTCTGAAAAACCCAGCAGGGGGTATTTTGCCCTGTTTGGACAGTTTTAGTTATCTTTATTAAATTTATGCAAGCAAGACAGTTTAAAATTATATATTGAATGTGTATGATTTTGATAATTAACAAGCCCATGGGACCTCTTGAATTAGATTTTCACTGATCGTATGTCGAAATTCACAGGCCTCAGTCTTCGTTTCATGAAGATTGCTTTTAGATATGTCTGACGTTAAAAACTTGAGGCCAATCACAGTTATATTTTTCTTGTAATTATTTCAAAACTTTAGACTTCTTCTCTCTCCTTGGCCCAATCTGGCTGATACCTCACCCACAGAGTGCCTTTGGGTAACGGGTGTACAGTGACCTTAAATCATGTTTCTAGGTCAATGGTCAAGTTCAAATCAGAATTATATGAAAAATCTGTGTTTAAAGCACATATCTCTGCTTGGCCCAATTTGGCTCATACTTCATCTTCAGAGTGCCTAGGGGTAATGAGTGTGAAATGACCATGAACCATTTTTAATAAAGGTCAAGGTCAAAGCAGAATTATTTGAAAAGTCCTTGTTTGGAGCATATCCTCTACCTCCTTGGCCCAATCTGGCTCATAATTTACCCAGAGTGCCTTTTGGTAATGGGAGTGCAGTGACCTTGAATTACGTTTCTAGGTCAATGTTCAAGGTCATAGCAGAGTTATATGAAAAATCTTTAGTCGGAGCATATCTTCTCTCTTCTTGGCCCAATCTGGCTCATTCTTCACCCAGAGAGTGTCTTTGGGTAATAGGTGTGCAGTGACCTTGAACCATGTTTCTAGGTCAAGGTCATAGCAGAATTATATGAAAAATCCTTGTTCAGAGCATATCTACTCCCTCCGTGGCCCAATCTGGTTCATACTTCACCCACAAAATGCCTTTTGGTAACAAGTGTGCAGTGATCTTAAACCATGTTTCTAGGTCAAAGGTCAAGGTCAAAGTAGAATTATATAAAAACCTTGTTCAGAACATGTCTTCTCTCCCCTTTGCTTTGTCCAATGTGGCTCATACTTCACTCACTGAGTGCCAGTGACCAATTGATGTGCAGCGACCTTGAACAAAGTTTCAAGGTCAAGGGTCAAGGTCAAAAATAGCCTGTGTTTAAAATCTTTGTTCGGTGCATAATTTCTTTCCCTTAAGTCCATTCAGCCTCGAACAAATTGACTGGGTATGGAAAATCTGTGATTTTCCTTCCATATTTTGATAGAGGATATGCAACAATTCTCATAGAGGATACATTTTTAAAAGTTTTTAAATTGTATTATTTTTCAGAGAGTAGTTATTTACTTTAAACATATTTTATTGAGTAATTCAATCAGGATTGGGCAGAGTAGTTATTTCTTGTCCCCTTTAATCTCAAACACCTTCAAAATGAACCCTTTTCAGCTACCTTACATTTTCATGTTCATTGCTAAAAGCTGGGTCCTTTGAGATGGCCACTATCTCAATGATATCTTTTCATACCCCCCGCAAACGAAGTTTAGGGGGGGTATATTGGAATCACCATGTCCGTCTGTCCGTCTGTCTGTCTGTCTGTCTGTCTGTAGACGAGATTTTGTCCGGACGATTTCTCAAAAACTAGTGGAAGGATTTGCCTGAAAATTTGTACACATATTATTCACCATATGAAGGTGTGCACCTGCTATTTTCATCTTGATTTGATGATTGTTTTGAATTTTACAGGTGTTTTTTCATTTTAATTTTGTGGTCTTGTGCAGACCGTTTCTCACAAACTATTGCAAGGATTGATCTGAAAATTTGCACACTTATTATTCACCATATGAAGGTGTGCACCTGGAATTTTCAACTTTATTTGTTTATTTTTCTGCATTTTACAGGTTTTACTTTTTATTTAAATTGACTTGTTCATTTTGGGCTCATTTATAAGGTATGAGAGATAGAATCTAGAATATCTGTACAAAAATGTGAACTACCGGGTAGTACAGCTTACAACAACTCATTAAAACTAAAAAAAGGAAACATCATCAAGTGTTAAAAACAATTTTTACATTACACAGAAGATAATGTAAATTCATTTGTCTCTTGGGAATAATGACTGGACAAGCATCCAGTTAAAGATAAATTAATGAGTTTGGTGTTGGAGGTTGTTAAGGCATATCTCTTATCAAGTGTGTGTGTGTGTTATCAAATCTCCAGGGAATAAGGCACAAGAATTAAAGATCTCTCTTCTCTTATTCTCTTAATTGTAATTTATTGTCTGTCAAAGCACTTCATTACTGGATGACCAGCTTTTTATTTTCAAAATGAATTTGATATATCAAGATTAATTTGATTTTGTATAATGATTTTTTTCAACAATTAGTTTGCAGAGTGTCATGACACATAATTGTAATAAATTTTTTTAATGCAGAAATAAAAAAAATGTTACGATTGAATTACAATGTATTAGTATTGATGTTTCATTTGGTTGCACTTTTGTTTCACTCATTAAGAAACATAATGAGCACTTATATTTTACTGCAAATTGTTGTAAGTAAATAGTGAACACCTCTAGATCCATAAAGTATTTTTGAATTGGCACCTTCTCTGAAAAAACCCAGCGGGGGGTATTTGTCCCTATTGGACAGTTCTAGTTTAAATCTGATTTTAGTTTCCTGATTATCTGTTCATACCATACACAAAATATTTTTGTAACAGTTTTCTCAGCACTGCTCATCACAATGGTTGAAATTTCAGCAAGCTCTTTGTTTAGGTTTACAATATGGTGGGACTCATTTTTGTATAAATCCAATATCAATTTCTTGTTTATTTGACAATATTTGTATATGCACATATTTTTTTTTTCACATGTCATTGTGCATTGTGACAAGACGTTTTGGAGTGCGATTATGCAATATGATAATCTTTGTCATGACTTTTAAATATTGAGTTTTGATGCACTTTTAAGAAGCAGTAACTTTTATCAAATCCAAGGGTCTTTGTTATAAGTCTCCAAACAGTAGAGCTTTTTCCTTCAAAATTTACCCCCCCCCCCCCCAAAAAAAAGTCAAATTTCATGAAAATGATTCTAAATTGTTAACATCATGGCCCCCGGGGGTTGTACCATAATAGTTAGGTACATGTGTGTAATTTGGAATTTGGATGATTACACCAAAACTGTTTGCCAGTAAATGTTGGATACATTTATCTGGTATATATAATTTCTGGAAATGTGTGACACATCTTAAAGGTAAGTTTAATGTGAAAATGGTTAACAAATTACATGTAACATGCATCCCTCTTTAAATTATATTAGGGATGTCAAAATTGTCAATAATTGATATTCGAATATTCGATAGGAGTATTCGAATATATTCGAATATTCGATAAAATAAATACATCTTGCATTATCAAATTTATATCTTCACTCTCCTGTCAAGTAGTGAAGAGTTTATGCCATTATTTGGAATAAAAACTCATGTGGAGTTCAGTAAATACACTGCAATTATATTTTTAAAAGAAATATTGAATAGTATACATCCCAAATGTAATAATTGTTAGAAAATTAAAAAGATTCTTTAGTATGTTCCAGATGAATTGATCGTCTTACTAAAGTCTACACTGATAACTCCTACAAATTCATACCAAACAGAACAATTATCTAATGGTGAAATATTAAAAGCAATTACTTTTCGCTAATTATGATTTCCTGATAATGATTTTTAATGATATTTACATAAACAAGGGGTCTGTGTGTTTACTGTAAAACTATGTTGCACAACAATACAAGCTGATTGTAAGTACTGAAAGCTATACTACTAATTAAGTGAACAAATAAATAAATTACTGTAATAGATACACTCTTCACACCTAAGGTAATCCAAGAGGAGTGGTTTTTTAAAATTTTGTACAAACTTTATTCAATTTCTAATAAAACTTGCCAGGTTTTTCTCTCTTTTTAATGCTTGTATACTTAAAAACGAATATTCGAATCATAAATTTATATTCGAATATCAACTCATCGAATGAATATTCGAATATTCGAATATTCGTTGACATCCCTAAATTATATATTGTTGAACGTCCAAGAATTTTTCACTCGTATAAGCCACCACTTGCCGGTGGGGAGCTGCAAATTTTGTCCTGTACTGAGCACTAGGGGCCATTGAGCAGGGAGAGATCTTTTTAATGCCAACACCTACTGCAACACAGAACCTCCGTTTATATGGTCTCTTCCTAAGGACCCTCTTTCAATGAATGTTGGCATATGTTTTGCATATAATTTTGAAAGTGTCAGTGATGGCAGCATTATTAATTTGAGAATGTGTGTATGTATCAAGTATGCCCTACTCTAATCAATCCCTTAAAGTATAGATTATAACATTTTAATATTTTTTGTAGATTACAGAATGCCTAGGAAGAAGACTTGGAAGAAAGCTGCTGTGAAGAAGACGAAATCTTGTAAGGCAGATGTGGGTGACAAGTACCCCATAGATGTTGGCCACGTCCAACCATCTGTGCCTCTGGGTGTAGGCCACGTCCTAACACCTATGACATCTGTACCGGCAGGGGTGATCTCTACCACCCCTGTGACAGTGGTCTCTGCGGCTCTCCCTGAGACCACTTTAAATCAGAATTTATCTCAGATTATTACTCAGAATTCATCTCAGTTGCTTACTCAGAATATATCTCAGATTACAACTCAGAATATTACTCAATTTACAATGAACAATATTCCAAATGAAACAACACATGCACTGCAAGGTAATTGTATGCATCAGAATTCAGATAATCTGGTATTTGGATCTTTCCATCAGGGAAGCAGGAGATTTTCATAATTTTCAAGAGGTAATCAGTGTACATGCAATTCACTTATGATGTTGTCAAATTCATATGAAAATTTTTCATTCACTAGTTCCTTTTTAGATCAGACTCTGCTCAAGGGAGATAATTTGTACAACACAGTTGTGAAGAATCTTCAGAGTGCTGGAAAACTGAAAAGCAGATTACTGATGTTCGATGAATTACCAACTCATATTGATTCTGGTGAAAATCACCACATGGTTGATAAGTTTGAAACATTGTTTGGCTTATTGGTTACGGATGATAAAAAAAATCAAATTCAAAGTCTACACGAATGTCTTCAACAAGCGTTGGGGTTATCTAGATATGTATTAATAATGATTGGCTCGATATGTTCAGCACTGTACAAAGCTTCAGACAATGATTTTTATTTTTTTGACTCGCATTCTCATGGCAAAAATGGGTTATCCGATTGTGATGGAAAGTCTGTGATGAGACACAGTTGCTGCTTAGATGATTTGGTAGGGTTTCTGTATGCAATGTATGAAAGTATGCACATTGAATTTGCAACTGAATTTGAAGTGATGCCTGTTGCCTTTCAAACACTTATTCATAGTTTCCCTAGCAATAATCAAAGTGTAGATCAATATTGTAGATTAGATCAGTCAACAACAACTGCTTTCACAAACAAACAATCTGTTAGTAGTAAAACTGATCACTTAAAAACAACAGAGATAAAGAAAGATAAAAAAGATTACATGAGAGAATATATGAGAAACAAGAGACAAGATCCAGAGTTTAAAGGAAAAGAAAGGGGCAGTAAGAGAAACAAGAGACAAGATCCAGAGTTTAAAGAAAAAGAAAGGGACAGTAAGAGAAACAAAAGACAAGATCCAGAGTTTAAAGACAAGGAAAGAGACAGTATGAGAAACAAGAGACAGGATCCAGAGTTTAAAGAAAAAGAAAGGGACAGTAAGAGAAACAAACGACAAGATCCAGAGTTTAAAGACAAGGAAAGAGACAGTATGAGAAACAAGCGACAAGATTCAGAGTATAAAGGAAAAGAAAGAGACAGCAAGAGAAACAAACGACAAGATCCAGAGTTGAAAGACAAGGAAAGAGACATTATGAGAAACAAGCGACAAGAATCAGAGTATAAAGGAAAAGAAAGAGACAGTAAGAGAAACAAACGACAAGATCCCGAGTTTAAAGACAAGGAAAGAGACAGTATGAGAAACAAGCAACAAGATTCAGAGTACAAAGGAAAAGAAAGAGACAGCAAGAGAAACAAACGACAAGATCCATAGTTTAAAGACAAGGAAAGAGACAGTTTGAGAAACAAAAGACAGAATGCAGAGTTTAAGGTTTCGTCAAAGGTCAACATGTCCAAAAATTTATTTTTTCAATAGCCCCAAAACTATGTGGGGTATAAAGTTAAAACTTTTACGGTTTATAAATATATCATTGATAAATAGATAGAAAGTATCAGTTGATAAAAAAATACTTGGAAAAAATATTAATTGAGAAAAATTCTTCTTAAAAATGCATATATTTAAAAAAAATACACCTAATTAATTCCGCGCTCTTAGTGAAAACCATTATTGCAGAAACAAAATATGTTTATCAATGAAGAGCAAGTTGGACTTGGATAGCCTCTGAAAAGTTGTTTTCCCTGTTTATTTTGTCCAAATGTTAAGACTTGAAAGTGAAAGTACATTGCAAATGGCGTAATTTATAGGGGTCTTGTCTTTTTACATGTCATGCTTTCAATAACAGCCTTTCAGAGACCATTCACGTCCAACTTGCCCTTCAATGATAACCATATATTATTTCTGCAATGATAGTTTTCACAAAAAAGACATAATTAAGCAGGTGCATTTTTCTGTAAATATGCACATTTTCTGATACAATTTGTCTTAAAAAATATCTTTTTAAAAATATTTGTTATCAAGCGACACTTTCTATCTATTAATCAATGATATATTTATAAACTGTAAACATTTTGACTTTATACCACACATAGTTTTGGAGCTATTGTAAAAATAATTTTTTAGTCATGTTGACCTTTGACGAAACCTTAAAGACAAAGAAAGAGACAGTAAGAAAATTAAAAAACAAGAAGAAGAGAACAGGCATGATGAGCAAATAAGAGATTTAATAAAGAAAAGGGAAATGAGACAAAATTCAAACCAGTTAGAAAAAGAGAGATTGAAGATGACAGAAAAAAGAAAAAATGAAGAATATAGAACATCAGAAAATATTGCTGCAAAACAATCAAAAGCACACTCACGGGAGAATTTGGACTATATTGAAAATGAAAAACAAAGATACAGAAAAAGTAAATTTGGAGTTGATACAGCGGAATGTGTTGACAATTTTCACAACAATGTAAAATTGGGTCCTGTATTTGTCTGCACATGTTGCCAACAGACATGGTTTCATGAAAGTGTTTCAAATGTCAATAATGTTTTGTTGGATGCTGAAATCAGAAGAAAGTATCTTACTAATACAAAGTCTGTAAATGGGCAGGAATGGATTTGCAACACCTGCAATTCATGCTTAAAAGAAAGTCGAACTCCAAAACTCTCTTTTGCTAATGGAATGACATGGATACAAAAACCAAATGAACTTAATTTGTTACCATTGGAAGAAAGACTTGTATCCTTAAGAATTCCTTTCATGCAGATAAGAGAATTACCAAGAGGAGGGCAGTTTTCTGTAAAAGGAAATGTTGTAAATGTGCCAGTTGACATACAACCAACAATCAGTAGTCTTCCTAGGAGACGATGAAAATATCACAATACCTGTGAAGTTAAAAAGAAAACTATCTTTTCAGCACTCTTATTCTCATGAAAATATTCGACCTACAAAGGTTCTGAGTGCTTTACATTGGTTAATGAAAAACTGTGAATATTATCAGAATTCAAATATAAACATAGATGATAACTGGTTCCATGAAGTTACCAATTCAGCAAGCGAATTAATGAGAGAGTTTATAGAGGGTCACACCAATGAAGATTCAACATTGCGTGACCAATCAGATGAATCAGACTCTGATGAATTCTGTGAAGTTGATAGTGGTAAGGATGGAAATTGTGATACACTTCTAGACAGTGACTCATGATATGAATCAGATCTTCACATTTGCTCCAGGAGAGAGACAGCGTCCACTTAGTTTGTATCAAGATCAACTGGCTGAGTATTTGTCATTTCCAACAATATTTTGTGGTAAAAGAAGAGTAGAAAACAATCAGCGTCAAGTACCTGTATCATATGCTGATATTGCTAAGTGGGAATTACGAAGTGTTGATAGACATGCTGCTCAGTCTGTACCAAATTTGTTTTTCAAATTGAAAAAGATTCAACTAAAACAGGTAACAGACAAATGCAATTTAGCTCTTAGAAAATGCAAAACAAAGGGGAAAACCTTTACTGCAAATGAAATTAGAAATCCTGATCAAATTAACAACATTGTTAGACACGATGAGGGATTTTATGTATTCAAACAGTTGAGAAATTCTCCTCCATATCTTGAAACAAGAAAAAAAGATATTTTTGCAATGATCCGACAGCTTGGTCTACCAACTTGGTTTATGTCATTTTCTGCTGCAGATACACGTTGGAATGATCTGATAAGGGCATTAGGACTTTTAAATGATGACAGAGAGTACACAGATTCTGAAATTGAGAGCATGACATGGACTGAAAAATCAAAGTTAGTTCAGAAAGACCCAATTACATGTACAAGGTATTTTGATCATCGTTTTCGTACTTTTTTGAATACTGTTCTGAAGAGTGATCATCATCCTATTGGCAGGGTACAGAACTTCTTCTATAGGGTTGAATTTCAACAAAGGGGATCACCACATGTTCACATGATTGTTTGGATTGAAAATGCTCCAAAATACTTAGAAAATGATGAAAAGGAAATAGTTGCATTTGTTGATAGCTACTTAAAATGTGAAAGAAATGCAGATGACACTATGCTAGAATTACAGGTGCATAAACACTCGCAAACATGCAAAAAAAGAGGAAAGGCTGTTTGTAGATTTGGATTTCCACTCCCACCACTCAAAACTACAATGATATTAGAACCTTTGGACATTGAAGTCGAGAAATACAAGAAGATGCATAAAGCTATGCAAGACAAAATGAATGAATTTAAGAATGGTTGTGATCTAAGCTTTAGTTTCCAAGAGTTTTTGCAGGATGTATTACAACTATCTGAAGATGATTATATCAAATGCATCAGAAGTTCATTGAGAGGACCCAAAGTATTTCTAAAGCATAAACCCTGTGACCTTAGAGTGAATGCTTACAACAGTACTCTTCTTCATGCATGGGCAGCTAATATTGACATTCAGTATGTATTGGACCCATATGCCTGTGCAATGTATATTGTCTCATACAAAAGTAAATCCCAAAGAGGAATGAGCGATCTTCTGAGAAGTACTGCAAAAGAAGCAAGAGAGGGCAATCTTGACATTAAGAGACAAGTTAGACACATTGGAAATCAATTTCTTAACAGTGTTGAAGTTGGAGCACAAGAAGCAGCATATCTGGTTTTGCAAATGCCACTTACAAAGGCATCAAGAGATGTAATGTTTATAAACACATCTCCAGTTGATGACCGTGTAATACTTGTCAAACCTGATTCAGAACTTGAAAAGTTGAATGCTAACTCCACAGACATAGAATGCAGTAACATTGTCAAAAGGTGTGCAAAACGTCCAAAACAACTTGAAAACTGGTGTTTAGCTGACTATGTCTCACAGATAGATGTAGTTTTCCCAAAAGAAAATGTAACTCAGCTGTCTGAAATGGAAACAAATGATGATGAGACACACCAGTCAGAAAATGAAGACATTGGATCTGATACTGAGAGTGATGGATTTTTCAGGATTTAAAACAAAATGCCCAAGCACTTGCATGTAATCTTTGGAAAGAAAACTTAACCTTATTTGAGTTGAATGAAGTAATGCGACAAAAGGACGATTTAGCATTTGCACAGCTTTTGAACCGTCTTCGTCACAATGAGATGACTTCTGGGGACTTACAGATAATTCGCAAGTGCATCATTGCTGAGAATAGTCCAAATTATCCACACAATGCTCCCCATCTTTTCACAATGAATGCCAAAGTAGATGAATATAACAATAAACTTATAGAGCAACTTCCTGGTGAAAAAGTCATTGTGAAAGCTGTTGACAGTGTCCTCCAAGACCACAGTAAGTCTGTGAAAGACCGACTACTCAGATCATTGCAAAATCAAGATGATGTTAGCAAAACTGCAAATCTCATGACAAGACTAACTCTAGCCATTGGAATGATATATGACATTATAGCTAATATTGATGTTACTGATGGCTTGACAAATGGTTCATCATGTACTGTATTTCTTGTTGAAAACAGATTATCTGGTGTATCAAGGCCAAGTATAGTGTGGGTGAAGTTTTTTGATTCTGCAGTATGGAGAATTGCTCGACAGAAATACAGACACCTTTTCCATGATGATGTTATGGCTGATTGGACACCAATATTTGACTGTCAGCGATCTTTTGTTTTTAATTCAACTACATATCAAAGAATACAGTTTCCTTTAAGACCAGCTGCTGGTAAGACGATTCATAAGGCGCAGGACTGCACTGTTGATGAAATTGTAGTAGATTTGTCTCAGTCAAGGATAAGGAAAACACCCCACATTCATTATGTAGCTCTTAGTAGAGTTAGATCTGTTGACAAGTTGCATATTTTGAATTTCAATGAGCAAGCATTAACTGTGGATGAAAAAGTTGTAGAAGAAATGGAAAGAATGAGGAAGGAAGCACCTCTAAAACTGTGTTATCTTCCATTGTACAAAACAGAGCAGAACAAATTAAAAATTATGTTTAATAATGCAAGATCTCTTCACAAACATTTCAATGAAATTAAAAATGAACCCACTGTTGTAGCATCAGATGTTACTGGTTTTTCAGAAACAAGATTAACCATCAATGATGAACAGAATTTTATGATGGAAGGTTACTTGACTTTGTTTAATCATGAAAAGAGAAGTGACAGCAATCGTCCTCATCATGGAACAGCATTATATGTTAAACAGGACCATTTGATGACGTGTATCTCAAAATTCAGCAACAATTTGCTCGAGTTCATCATAGCTTTAATAAATTTCAGAGACTTTGGAGAAGTGCAGATAGTTGTTTTCTACAAGTTCCCAGCATGTCCTTTTAAAGAATTTGAACGTGAAATTATGTTGCACTTAAAACCTTTTGTAGACACAGAGAAAAAATTGATAATACTTGGAGAT